GGAGAGTTAGAGAGAGATGGGGAGAGAGTTAGATGGATAGAGAGAGTTGGGGAGAGAGTTAGAGAGAGATGGGGAGAGAGTTAGAGAGAGATGGGGAGAGAGTTAGAGAGAGATGGGGAGAGAGATGGGGAGATGGGGCGAGAGTTAGAGTGATGGAGAGAGAGATGGGGAGAGAGATGGAGAGATGGGGGGAGAGTTAGATGGGGAGATAGGGGGAGAGGTAGAGAGATGGGGAGGGAGATGGGGAGAGAGATGGGGGAGAGTTAGAGAGAGATGGGGAGGGAGATGGGGAGATGGGGGGAGAGTTAGAGAAAGATGGGGAGATGGGGGGAGAGTTAGAGAGAGAGATAGGGAGAGAGTTTGGGAGAGAGTTAGAGAGGGTTGGGGAGAGAGATGGGGAGGGAGATGGAGAGAGAGTTGGGGAGAGATGGGGAGATGGGGCGAGAGGTAGAGAGATGGAGAGAGAGATGAGGAGAGAGATGGAGAGATGGGGGGGAGAGTTAGAGAGAGATGGGGAGATGGGGGGAGAGTTAGATGGGGAGAGAGTTGGGGAGAGAGATGGGGAGAGAGTTGGGGAGAGAGATGGGGAGAGAGTTGGGGAGAGAGATGGAGAGAGAGTTGGGGAGAGAGTTAGAGAGAGATGGGGAGAGAGATGGGGCAAGATGGGGAGAGAGATGGGGAGAGAGTTGGGGAGAGAAATGGGGAGAGAGATGGGGAGAGAGTTAGAGAGAGATGGGGAGAGAGATGGGGCGAGATGGGGAGAGAGTTTGGAGAGAATTAGAGAGAGATGGGGAGAGAGATGGGGAGAGATGGGGAGAGATATGGGGAGTTTGGGAGAGAGTTAGAGAGAGTTAGAGGGAGTTAGAGAGAGATGGGGAGAGAAATGGGGAGGGAGATGGAGAGAGAGTTGGGGAGAGAGTTAGAGAGAGATGGGGAGAGAGATGGGGAGATGGGGCGAGAGGTAGAGAGATGGGGAGAGAGATGGGGAGAGAGTTAGAGAGAGATGGGGAGATGGGGAGAGAGATGGGGAGATGGGGTGAGAGGTAGAGAGATGGGGACATGGGGGGAGAGATGAGGAGGGAGTTAGAGAGATGGGGAGAGAGATGGGGAGAGAGTTAGAGAGAGAGGGGGAGAGAGAGGGGGAGAGAAATGGGGAGATGGGGCGAGAGGTAGAGAGATGGGGACATGGGGGGAGAGACGAGGAGGGAGTTAGAGAGATGGAGAGAGAGATGGGGAGAGAGATGGAGAGAGAGATGGATGGGGAGAGTTAGAGAGAGATGGGGGGAGATGGAGAGAGACAGAGATTGTAGGCGACTTTGGTGGACTGGAGACTCACTCTTGAGGAAGGAGTCGATGGACTGCGTGAATTTGGAGTAGGAATCGCTTTGGGAGATGTTGAAGGTGACGTCCAGATTCTCCGTACGCGGCCGGATCATCACGCCTGCAGCACGCGCCAGAAGCATCATCATTATCAGCTTCATCATCAGCAGCATCATGAGCATGATCAGCAGCAGCATCATCAGCATCATCAGCAGCAGCATCATCATCAGCAGCATCATCATAATCATCAGGAGCAGCATCATCATCATCAGGAGCAGCATCATCATCATAATCAGGAGCAGCATCATCATCAGCAGCAGCATCATCATCAGCATCGTGAGCATCATCAGCAGCATCATCATCAGCAGCATCATCAGCAGCATCAGCAGCATTATCACGACGATCAGCGTGTAAGTAACCCAGGGTAGTTGTGAGTGTAACTAACCCATGGTAGTTGTGAGTGTAACTAACCCAGGGTAGTTGTGAGTGTAACTAACCCAGTGTAGTTGTGAGTGTAAAGTAACCCAGGGTAGTTGTGAGTGTAACTAACCCAGTGTAGTTGTGAGTGTAACTAACCCAGTGTAGTTGTGAGTGTAACTAACCCAGTGTAGTTGTGAGTGTAAAGTGACCCATGGTAGTTGTGAGTATAACTAACCCAGTGTAGTTGTGAGTGTAAAGTGACCCAGGGTAGTTGTGAGTGTAACTAACCCAGGGTAGTTGTGAGTGTAAAGTAACCCAGTGTAGTTGTGAGTGTAAAGTGACCCAGGGTAGTTGTGAGTGTACGTGCCAGGGTTCTGGACGCGGGTCCTGGTACTTGGGCCTCTCGTCGCTGATCGTCTGCAGCATCACCCACATGGTGAAGGCGAACATCGCGGCCAGGACGAGGTAGAAGATGACATAGTAGCCGATGATGAGGGCTGTGTGGACGAGGTGGAGGAGGTGGAGTAGGAGGAGTAGGAGGAGGGGTACACGCAGGTATTGTTCACCGTTAATGCTGTACATACACCGTGGCAGTATTAACCAGGCTTGCCGCTGATTTCGAACCGTGACAGTGATAGGGTTTGGGGTAGAGATTGCGGCAGTGATAGTGGCAGCGATAGGGACGGTGATAGGAGCATCGATTGGGGTAGTGATAGGGCTAGTGGTAGGGGTAGTGATAGGGCTAGTGGTAGGGGTAGTGATAGGGTTGGTGATGGTGGTAGCGATAGGGGTAGCGATAGGGGGTAGTGATAGGGGTAGTGATAGGGGTAGCGATAGGGGTAGCGATAGGGGTGGCAGTAGGGGTGGTGATAGGGGTAGCGATAGGGATATCGATGGGGGTAGTGGTAGGGGTGGTGATGGTGGTAGTGATAGTGGTAGCGATAGGGGTAGTGCTAGGGGTAGCGGTAGGGGTAGCGATAGGGGTAGTGGTAGGGTAGTGATAGGGGTATCGATAGGGGTAGTGGTAGCGATAGGGGTAGCGATAGGGGCAGTGATAAGGGTATCTATAGGGGTATCGATGGGGGTAGTGATAGGGGTATCGATAGGGGTATCGATGGGGGTAGTGATAGGGGTATCAATAAGGGTATCGATGGGGGTATCGATGGGGGGTAGTGATAGGGGCAGTGATTGGGGTAACGATAGATGGAAGCTCCCAGCGGCAATATCCAGAAATCAGATTTTTTTTTAATTGCTCCGTTGTAAAAATAAACATTAAAACGTCTACGACACCGTTCGTTCATCACGTGCCAACTTCATTGAGCGGCAGCGTCGTGTGGAGGATGGATTGGCGCCACTCAACTTTATCGTTGTTGTTAAATGACGCGATCATTATGACCCCCCCCCAATCCCCTCCCCCCCCAAAGCGACTCCCGCAAAAAACAAAAGTCAATTACCAACTTGACCCGTGGATTGTCCACAAACTGGTTCTTCTGGAACTCTAATCAGTAAAACAATGCGCTGGTGAATGCCTCCTCCACAGAACACTGAGAAGCCCTGGAGAGAAGTCGCCTCCAGCAGACTGTAGGGGGGCAAGTGCTGAGAGTGGTAGCGAGTAGCAGTAGCGACTATACACAGACAAAGATCCCCCGTGTAGCCTCTAACAGGCTGTAGGGGCAAGTGCTGTTAGTAGCGAGTAATAGCAGCACCTATACACAGACAAAGATCCCCCGTGTAGCCTCTAACAGGCTGTAGGGGCAAGTGCTGTTAGTAGCGAGTAGCAGCAGCACCTATACACAGACATAGATCCCCCGTGTAGCCTCTAACAGGCTGTCGGGGCAAGTGCTGTTAGCGAGTAGCAGCAGCACCTATACACAGACAAAGATCCCCCGTGTAGCCTCTGACAGACTGAAGGGGCAAGTGCTGTTAGCGAGTAGCAGCAGCACCTATACACAGACAAAGATCCCCCGTGTAGCCTCTAACAGGCTGTAGGGGCAAGTGCTGTTAGCGAGTAGCAGCAGCACCTATACACAGATAAAGATCCCCCGTGTAGCCTCTAACAGTCTGCAGGGGCAAGTGCTGTTAGTAGCGAGTAGCAGCAGCACCTATACACAGACAAAGATCCCCCGTGTAGCCTCTAACAGACTGCAGGGGCAAGTGCTGTTAGTAGTAGCGAGTAGCAGCGCCTATACACAGACAAAGATCCCCCGTGTAGCCTCCAGCAGACTGCAGGGGCAAGTGATGTTAGTAGCGAGTAGCAGCAGCACCTATACACAGACAAAGATCCCCCGTGTAGCCTCTAACAGACTGCAGGGGCAAGTGCTGTTAGTAGTAGCGAGTAGCAGCGCCTATACACAGACACAGATCCCCCGTGTAGCCTCTAACAGACTGCAGGGGCAAGTGCTGTTAGCGAGTAGCAGCAGCACCTATACACAGACAAAGATCCCCCGTGTAGCCTCCAACAGGCTGTAGGGGCAAGTGCTGTTAGTAGCGAGTAGCAGCAGCACCTATACACAGACAAAGATCCCCCGTGTAGCCTCCAACAGGCTGTAGGGGCAAGTGCTGTTAGTAGCGAGTAGCAGCAGCACCCATACACAGACAAAGATCCCCCGTGTAGCCTCTAACAGGCTGTCGGGGCAAGTGCTGTTAGCGAGTAGCAGCAGCGCCTATACACAGACAAAGATCCCCCGTGTAGTCTCCAGCAAACTGTAGGGGCAAGTGCTGTTAGCGAGCAGCGCCTATGAAGGCTACCGGCGCTGTGGCACACGAGGGGGTGGCTGACCAGCACCACGTCCGGCCGCCTTTGTCTCCCCAGTGGCGATGTTTACTACACACCGCACCAGGTTACTCATTTGAGGCTGAGTCGACCTAGGGGAGGCCCAGGACCGCTTCAGATACTCGCCACCGCTGTTGGTTGGGGTTCGGAGCGCAGCGCTAACCGCTGCACCACCGCTCCCCATAACGGCGCCGTGGTGGCTAAGGGATGTTGACTACCACGCCGGGTATACAGGAGGTCGTGGGTTCGATCCCGACCCTAACGATGCCCGCTGCTGTATATGTGGAGTTTGAGTGTCTCTCTCTCTCTCATCATCATCACCACGGTGGCTAGGGGATGTTGACTACCTCGCCTGGTATACAGGAGGTCGTGGGTTCGATCCCGACCCTGACGATGCCTGCTGCTGTATATGTGGCGTTTGAGTGTCTCTCTCATCATCATCATCACCACGGTGGCGAGGAGATGTTGACTACCTCGCCTGGTATACAGGAAGTCGTGGCTTCGATCCCGACCCTGACGATGCCTGCTGCTGCTGTATATTTGGAGTTTGCGTCTCTCTCTCCCCGTGTTAGTGAGGATTTTTCTCCAGGTTCCTCCGATTTCCCCCTCCACATTTCGAATTAACATCGCGCGTTCAGAGTATTTGGCTGCTATAAGTTCCTGTGGGGCCTATGCGTCTCTACGAGTATCTATACGTCTCTATCGGTACGTGTCTCTGTGGGTGTATGGGCCTCTGTTTGTCTATGTGACTCTATGCATCCCTATGAGTATGGATCCTTATGGGACCTCTGTGGGTATATGGGTCTCTATGGGTGTCTATGAATAAGGGTCCCTATGGGTTTCTGTGGGTCTATGGGTCTCTGTTTGTCTATGGGTCTGTATGGGTCTCTATAAGTATGGGTCTATGTGGGCCTCTGCGGGTCTATGGGTCTCTATGAGTATGTATTTCTATGGGTCTCTGTGGGTCTCTGTGGGTCTCTGCGTGTCTCTATGGATCTTTGTAGGTCTCTATGGGTCTTTGTGGGTCTCTGTGGGCCTATGTGGGCCTATATGTGTCTTTGTGGGTCTCTATGGGTCTCTATGGGTCTCTGCGGGATCTATAAGTTTCCACGAGTCTGTACGAACACGCCTTTCGACTACATTTGGATGCTACGAATTTCCACACAGCAGCAACAAAAATAACGACGGCTTTGATGTTGATGATGATGATCAGGATGGCAATCAGCCCACTCTCGCCATCCAGGGAGCACTTCACTCAACAGCAGCTCAGCTCAGTGTGGGAGGTGGGGGGGGGACCTTGCACCCTGGGGCTAAACGTCTCAAGGGTTTAAATATCTTGAGTTTAAATGTCCACACGCTCACAGGCGCTCACTCACACCACACCCCACGTGGACACATAGCCCTGCTCTCTGTCTCTCTCTCTCTCGTCTCTCTCCTCTCTTCGGTCACGGAGCGCAGCAAACGGGATAATAATAATACTCTTTTATTATTTTATTGTTTCCCTTCTACGTGGTGACTTTACCGAAAGAACCAAGAATATGAATCCCTGCAGTCACGAAAGCTTTAAGTCCAACAATAATAATACCTCTTCTTTGGTTCTTTCGGTAAAGTCACGTAGAATGAGAATAAAATAATAAAATAAAATAACACAATAATTTTATTATTTTATTCTCATTCTACGTGACTTTACCGAAAGAACCAAAGAAGATGAATCATTGCAGTCACGAAAGCTTTAAATCGAAAAATAATAATACCGCTTATTTCTTTTCCACCTACGTGAAATCACGTAGGAGGTGTTGAGTTTATTATTGTTTCTGCAGTTTCGAAAGCGGCAAATCAATAATAATAATAATTGTGTACATTTTGACTTAAAAAACTGTTTTATTTTCTCTCCGCCTGATGAAGACCGCTTGTGTTGCGATCGAAACGTCGTGAGTTTCTTGCTCTTATTATTTTCATTTTGTTTTTATTTTTTAAATTTTTCAATTGATTACTTTTTTTTAATTCAACGGGTTTTTTTTTATTTTGTATTTTTTAGTTTTAGTTTTATATTTACGTGACTTTACCGAAAGAGCCAAGAATATAAGAATTGTGTAGCCCCCGGCAAGGGAGGCATCGTGCGTGTGGCGGGGGAGATCTGATCAGCAGCGGTGATCCGGCTACAGCCGATCCGGACCGCCCGCCACAACAAAGCAGTCGGGGGAGGGGAGGGAGGGGAGAGAAGGAGGGAGGATTTGTGTGCAGTGTGGAGTCTGTGGGCAGTGTGGAGTCTGTGGGTAGTGTTGAGTCTGTGGGTAGTGTTGAGTCTATGGGCAGTGTTGAGTCTGTGGGGCAGTGCTGAGTCTATGGTGCAGTGCTGAGTCTATGGTGCAATTTGGAGTCTGTGGGCAGTGTTGAGTCTATGGTGCAGTGCTGAGTCTGTGTGCAGTGTGGAGTCTGTGGGCAGTGTTGAGTCTGTGGGTAGTGTTGAGTCTGTGGGTAGTGTTGAGTCTGTGGGGCAGTGCTGAGTCTATGGGCAGTGTTGAGTCTATGGGGCAGTGCTGAGTCTATGGGGCAGTGTTGAGTCTGTGGGGCAGTGTTGAGTCTGTGGGTAGTGTTGATTCTATAGGCAGTGTTGCCCATAGACTCAGCACTACAGTGGGTAGTGCTGAGTCTGTGGGGCAGTGCTGAGTCTATGGGCAGTCTTGAGTCTGTGGGCAGTGTTGAGTCTATGGGCAGTGTTGAGTCCGTGGGCAGTGCTGAGTCTATGGGGCAGTGTTGAGTCTATGGGCAGTGCTGAGTCTATGGGACAGTGTTGAGTCTATAGGCTGTCTTGCGTCAGTGGCTAGTGCTGAGTCTATGGGCAGTGCTGAGTCTATGGGCAGTGTTGAGTCTATGGTGCAGTGCTGAGTCTATGGGCAGTGTTGAGTCTGTGGGCAGTGCTGAGTCTTTGGTGCAGTGCTGAGTCTATGGGCAGTGCTGAGTCTATGGGGCAGTGTTGAGTCTATGGACAGTGCTGAGTCTATAGGGCAGTGCTGAGTCTATGGGGCAGTGTTGAGTCTATGGGGCAGTGTTGAGTCTATAGGCAGTGTTGCCCATAGACTCAGCACTACAGTGGGTAGTGCTGAGTCTATGGGAAGTCTTGAGTCTGTGGGCAGTGTTGAGTCTGTGGGCAGTGTTGAGTCTATGGGCAGTGCTGAGTCTATGGGGCAGTGCTGAGTTTATGGGCAGTGTTGAGTCTATGGGCAGTGCTGAGTCTATGGGGCAGTGCTGAGTTTATGGGCAGTGTTGAGTCTATGGGCAGTGCTGAGTCTATGGGGCAGTGCTGAGTCTATGGGCAGTGTTGAGTCTGTGGGCAGTGCTGAGTCTATGGTGCAGTGTTGAGTCTATGGGCAGTGTTGAGTCTATGGGCAGTGTTGAGTCTATGGTGCAGTGTTGAGTCTATGGGCAGTGTTGCGTCCGTGGGCAGTGTTGATTTTATGGGCAGTGCTGAGTCTATGGTGCAGTGTTGAGTCTGTGGTGCAGTATTGAGTCTATGTTGCAGTGTTGAATATATGAGCAGTGCTGAGTCTATGGTGCAGTGCTGAGTCTATGAGTAATGCAGCTGTTGGCAGTCGTGGTGTAATTAAAAACAACAACAACAACGCGTGTGTTGTGTACGTGGCCTTAAAAGGATAGAAGCGAATATATACAGGGTGGCCCAAAAGTCAGGACACATAGGGTTATTAACATTACACGAGTTTGTGGAATTGCCTTAGAAGGTGCCCACACTGAGCTGCGACCTGGCTCTTTTTCAGAAGCGGCCCCTTGTTATCACATGACGAGAGCTCAACGAACTTGTGGCTTATCATCATCATCATCATCGCGTGGACATTGATAGCAGTAGCCAAATGCTCCAAACGCGTGATGATGTTGATTCTAAATGTGGGGGAGAAGAATCAACGTGGCCACCGGGCAGAGAGACACGCAGACTTCAAATACACAGCAGCAGCAGCAGGCGTTGTCAGGGTCGGGATCGAACCCACGACCTCCTGCGCACCAGGCGAGGTAGTAAACATCTCCTAGCTACCGTGATGATGATGATGAGAGAGAGAGAAACGCAGACTCCAAATATTCAGCAGCAGGCATTGTCAGGGTCGGGATCGAACCCACGACCTCCTGTACACCTGGCGAGGTAGTTAACATCTCCTCGCCCCCAAATTCTGTATGTATGTAAAGTGCTGTGTGTGTTTGTGCGTAAAGTGCTGTGTGTATGTAAAGTGATGTGTGTGTAAAGTGATGTGTGTATGTAAAGTGATGTGTGCATGTAAAGTGATGTGTGTGTGTATGTAAAGTGCTGTGTGTGTTTGTGCGTAAAGTGCTGTCTGTATGTAAAGTGATGTGTGTGTGTAAAGTGCTGTGTGTATGTCAAGTGGTGTGTGAGTGTAAAGTGCTGTGTGTATGTAAAGTGATGTGTGTGTGTAAAGTGGTGTGTGTATGTAAAGTGATGTGTGTGTGTAAAGTGCTGTGTGTATGTAAAGTGGTGTGTGTATGTAAAGTGCTGTGTGTATGTAAAGTGATGTGTGTGTGTAAAGTGCTGTGTGTATGTAAAGTGATGTGTGTGTGTAAAGTGATGTGTGTATGTAAAGTGATGTGTGTATGTAAAGTGATGTGTGTATGTAAAGTGGTGTGTGTATGTAAAGTGATGTGTGTATGTAAAGTGCTATGTGTATGTAAAGTGATGTGTGTGTGTGTAAAGTGCTGTGTGTGTAAAGTGCTGTGTGTATGTAAAGTGCTGTGTGTATGTAAAGTGATGTGTGTATGTAAAGTGCTGTATGTATGTAAAGTGCTGTGTGTATGTAAAGTGATGTGTGTATGTAAAGTGCTGTATGTATGTAAAGTGCTGTGTGTATGTAAAGTGCTGTGTGTATGTAAAGTGATGTGTGTATGTAAAGTGATGTGTGTATGTAAAGTGGTGTGTGTATGTAAAGTGATGTGTGTGTGTGCAAAGTGCTGTGTGTATGTAAAGTGATGTGTGTATGTAAAGTGCTGTGTGTATGTAAAGTGATGTGTGTGTAAAGTGCTGTGTGTATGTAAAGTGCTGTGTGTATGTAAAGTGCTGTGTGTATCTAAAGTGATGTGTGTGTGTAAAGTGGTGTGTGTGTGTAAAGTGCTGTGTGTATGTAAAGTGATGTGTGTGTGTAAAGTGGTGTGTGTGTGTAAAGTGATGTGTGTGTGTAAAGTGGTGTGTGTGTGTAAAGTGATGTGTGTGTGTAAAGTGCTGTGTGTGTGTAAAGTGCTGTGTGTGTGTAAAGTGCTGTGTGTATGTAAAGTGATGTGTGTGTGCAAAGTGCTGTGTGTATGTAAAGTGATGTGTGTGTGTAAAGTGCTGTGTGTATGTAAAGTGCTGTGTGTATGTAAAGTGGTGTGTGTGTGTAAAGTGATGTATGTATATAAAGTGATGTGTGTATGTAAAGTGCTGTGTGTATGTAAAGTGGTGTGTGTGTGTAAAGTGCTGTGTGTATGTAAAGTGATGTGTGTGTGTAAAGTGATGTGTGTGTGTAAAGTGGTGTGTGTATGTAAAGTGCTGTGTGTGTGTGTGTAAAGTGCTGTGTGTATGAAAGTGCTGTGTGTATGTAAAGTGCTGTGTGTGTTTGTGTGTAAAGTGCTGTGTGTATGTAAAGTGATGTGTGTGTGTGCCATCTCACACTAGCTGGTCCTTTTTCGACCCAGGAACTCCTTGTGAGTGCTCTGTGTAAAGTGATGTATGTGTGTATGTAAAGTTCTGTATGTATGTAAAGCTTAGTATGTATGTAAATTGATGTGTGTATGTAAAGTACTGTGTGTATGTAAAGTTACGTATGCATGTAAAGTGCTGTGTGTGTAAAGTGATGTGTGTATGTAAAGTTTCGTATGTATATAAAGTGCTGTTTGTATGTAAATTTACATATGTATGTAAAGTGCTGTGTGTATGTAAATGTACGTATGTATGTAAAGTGCTGTGTGTGTGTGTAAAGTGCTGTGTGTATGTAAAGTTATGTATGTATGTAAAGTTTAGTATATATGTAAAGTGTTGTGTGTATGTAAAGTTATGTATGTATGTATGTAAAGTGCTGTGTGTATGCAACGTTACATATATATGTAAAGTGCTGTGTGCGTGTGTGTGTAAAGTGCTGTGTGTATGTAAAGTCACATATTTATGTAAAGTGCTGTGTGAATGTAAAGTTACGTATGTATATAAATTGCTGTTTGTATGTAAATTTACGTATGTATGTAAAGTGCTGTGTGTATGTAAATGTACGTATGTATGTAAAGTGCTGTGTGTGTGTGTAAAGTGCTGTGTGTATGTAAAGTTATATTTATGTAAAGTGCTGTGTGAATCTAAAGTTACGTATGCATGTCAAGTGCTGTGTGTGTGTAAAGTGCTGTGTGTATGTAAAGTTACATATTTATGTAAAGTGCTGTGTGTATGTAAAGTTACATATTTATGTAAAGTGCTGTGTGTATATAATGTTACGTATGTATGTATGTAAAGTGCTGTGTGTATGTAAAGTTACATATTTATGTAAAGTGATGTGTGAATGTAAAGTTACGTATGCATGTAAAGTGCTGTGTGTGTAAAGTGCTGTGTGTATGTAAAGATACGTATGCATGTAAAGTGCTGTGTATGTGTGCGTGTGTGCCATCTCACCCCAGCTGGTCCCGGTTCGACCCAGGAACTCCCTTGTTCGCGGGTTCCACAGGAATGCTCTCCAGGAGGCGAGCGATTCGCGGGCGCGATCTCCGCGCGTTTTCCTGTCGTTCGCCATGGGTGAACTCCTACTCCGGACCACGTGGTTGAAGGAACAAGGGCAATTGTTTTAACACGTGGTAGTGATACCGTGTCAATACAATACACTACACTATACACTACTATACACCATACCAATATACACTACACTATACACTACTATACACTATACCAATATACACTACACTATACACTACTATACACTATACGAATATACACTACACTATACACTAGATCACTATACACTACATTACTATATACTACACTATACACTACACTGTACACTACACTACTATACACTACACTATACACTATACCAATATACACTACACTATACACTACTATACACTATACCAATATACACTACACTATACACTAGATTACTATACACTAAACTATACACTAAACTATACACTACACTACTATACATTACACTACTATACACTACACTATACACTACACTATACAATATACTACAATACACTACAATACACTACTATACACTACACTATACACTACACTATACACTACACTACTATATACTACACTATACACTACACTATACATTACACTACTGTACACAATACTACTATATACTATACACTACATTAATCTACACTACACTATACCACTACACTACTATACACTACACTATACACTACATTACTATATACTACACTGCTATATACTACACTGCTATACACTACACTATATACTATACTACACTACTATACACTACTATACCATACACTACACTACTATATACTACACTGCTATACACTCACTACTATACACTACACTATATACTGCACTGCTATATACTACACTGCTATACACTACACTATACACTACACTACTATACACTACACTACTATACACTACACTACTATAAACTATACCATACACTACACTCCTATATACTACACTGATATACACTACACTATACACTACTATACACTACACTATATACTACACTACTATACCATGCTTGTCAACCCATACGGTTTACCCCATATTCTTGTACAGGGAAATTGTTTGCAAGTCCATACAGCGTACAGCCGTTTCAATACGGGCAAAAAAACATATTTAGATAATTGTGTATCTTTCTGTTTGTGCTTCTCCCTTGTGATGGGACTTTGTAGGATGAACGTTGAGATTAATAAGGGGCACGGGGTAATCAATAAGGTGTGAATTCGTCTGTAATAAGCTACGGCACTGATAAGTGGTTGACCGATATCTAATATTGTAGTGTATAGTCGTGTAATGTATAGTGTACTGTATAATAGTGTATTGTGTATAGTAGTGTAGTGTATATCAGTGTATAGTAGTGTAGTGTATACTAGTGTAGTGTATGATAGTGTAGTGTATAGCAGTGTAATGTATAGCGTAGTGTATGATAGTGTAGTGTATAGTGTAGTGTATAGTAGTGTAGTGTATAGTATTTTGGTGTATAGTGTAGTGTATAGTGTAGTGTATAGTAGTGTAGTGTATAGTGTAGTGTATAGTATAGTGTATAGTAGTGTAGTGTATAGTAGTGTATAGTTTAATGTATAGTGTAGTGTATAGTAGTGTAGTGTATAGTAGTGTAGTGTATAGTGTAGTGTATAGCGTAGTGTATTATAATGTAGTGTATAGTGTAGTGTATAGTAGTGTAGTGTATAGTAGTGTAGTGTATAGTTTAATGTATAGTGTAGTGTATAGTAGCGTAGTGTATAGTAGTGTAGTGTATAGTAGTGTAGTGTATAGTGTATGGTAGTCTGAATCGGTCTGTAATAAAGTAGGCATTGATAAGGGGTTGACAGGTTTGTGTAGTAGTGATCGTGGTAGGGCTCTCGGGACCCAATGTAATCCATGTATCGAGGTTTGCTTGGGTTCGATCTCGTTGAAATTTATGAATGTTTCGTTAACCGAATCACAACAAGGCAAAGATCCCCCGTGTAGCCTCTAACAGGCTGTAGGGGCAAGTGCTGTTAGTAGCGAGTAGTAGCATCACCTATACACAGACAAAGATCTCCCGTGTAGCCTCTAACGGAATGTTGGGGCAAGTGCTGTTAGTTAGCGAGTAGCAGCACCTATACACAGACAAAGATCTCCCGTGTAGCCTCTAACAGACTGCAGGGGCAAGTGCTGTTGGTAGCGAGTAGCAGCGCCTATACACAGACAAAGATCCCCCGTGTAGCCTCTAACAGACTGCAGGGACAAGTGCTGTTAGTAGCGAGTAGCAGCGCCTATACACAGACAAAGATCCCCCGTGTAGCCTCTAACAGACTGCAGGGGCAAGTGCTGTTAGTAGTAGCGAGTAGCAGCGCCTATACACAGACAAAGATCCCCCGTGTAGCCTCTAACAGACTGCAGGGGCAAGTGCTGTTAGTTGCGAGTAGCAGCACCTATACACAGACAAAGATCCCCCGTGTAGCCTCTAACAGACTGCTGGGGCAAGTGCTGTTAGTAGCGAGGAGCAGCGCTACTGTGGCACACGAGCGGTATGGTTGGGTCAGCACTACGCTCGACCGCCTTTGTCTCCCCAGTGGCGATGTTTGCTACACACCTCACCGGGTACTCATTTGAGGCTGAGTCGACCTACGGGAGCTCCGCCAGTACCGGGTTCAGAGAATCGTCACCGGTGTTTGATCCGCGAGCGGGAATCGAACCCGGGTCGCCAGCCAGCGGAGCGTGGCGCTAACCGCTGCGCCACCGCTCCCCCAAACCCACCCACCAACACTCGATACGTTGATTTGTAAAAGTTGATTTTTTTTTGGTATTTTTTAAAACTCTCAAACGCACGCAGCCGGTTCTAGTACAGAGATAGGTAAAGTCAAGGTCGTCATTATTACATTCAAATATGGTCAAAATGTCCCCCCCCCCCCAGTATATTGCTATAAAATCGATTTCTGTTTATATGATTGTGGTTATGGTTGTTACTTTATTAATCCCCAATCTCTGCCATTGTATACAACGAAACAGAAAAGGTATAAAAATACAATAGACTATCATAATTTTTTGTAAGAAATAAAGAAATAGTCCATCCTGTGTGTTAGTGGTTTATTTTTTTGGACAATTTTAGGCAGGAAATTCGTTTTCAAATTTAGATTTTTTTTCTGGGGGGGGGGGGGGGGGGTGAATATTAGGGGGACCCCCAGACCCCCTGGAAGATTTGGTCCCCCCAATATTCACTCCATAGCTACTGCCTTGAGTAAAGGCATCGGTCACGTCTTGTTAACGCGGCAATGAACCATCGACTTTGCCAATTGGCTGTGTGGTGGTGGTGGTGGAACGACTCAGAGCATTGCTACCAATGACGCGATCTAAACCCCCAACGCGGACAAACGAAAACAAAAAAAACAAATCACGACAAACTGAGGTTAGCTTTGTAAGCACCTTAGCGCATCTTCTTTGGTTCTTTCGGTAAATTCACCACGTAGAATGAGAATAAAATAATAAATTGATAAAATAAAATAACACAATAAATATTCTCACGACGTTTCGGCCACAACACAAGCGGCCTTCATCAGGTGAAGGGACGAGACTGTCTGGTAGGACAGCGCTGGAGTGCTGGAGTGCTGTCCTACCAGACAGTCTCGTCCCTTCACCTGATGAAGGCCGCTTGTGTTGTGGCCGAAACGTCGTGAGAATATTATTGTGTTATTTTATTTTATCAATTTATTATTTTATTCTCATTCTACGTGGTGACTTTACCGAGCGAGCATTGCTGAACTCCGTTGCTTCCCAACGGTTGACTAAACAAATACATGGTGATGTTAATCATGTTAATAGTGATGTTAATCATGAGTACAAAAGAGTTTTTTTTTTTGCAGACCAAGTGAGCTGTAAGTTACGCTGGACCATCTCAACATATCTGACACGGCCACTAAGATCTCTCCCGCACTATAAGAGACACCCAGAACCCAGGTGAATCAGCAGGGCAGGCTCAACGTATCTGACACGGCCACTAATATCTCTCCCGCACTATAAGAGACACCCAGAACCCAGGTGATTCAGCAGGGCAGGCTCAACATATCTGACACGGCCACTAATATCTCTCCCGCACTATAAGAGACACCCAGAACCCAGATGATTCAGCAGGGCTGGCTCAGCATTTCCGACACGGCCACTAAGATCTCTCCCACACTTTAAGAGACACCCAGAAACCAGGTGATTTAGCAGGACCATCTCAACATATCTGACACGGCCACTAAGATCTCTCCCACACTATAAGAGACACCCAGAACCCAGGTGATTCAGCAGGACTACCTCAACATATCTGATACGGCCACTAAGATCTCTCCCGCACTATAAGAGACACCCAGAACCCAGGTGATTCAGCAGGGCAGGCTCAACATATCTGACACGGCCACTAAGATCTCTCCCACACTATAAGAGACACCCAGAACCCAGGTGATTCAGCAGGGCAGGCTCAACATATCTGACACGGCCACTAAGATCTCTCCCGCACTATAAGAGACACCCAGAACCCGGGTGAATCAGCAGGGCTGGCTCAGCGTTTCCGACACGGCCAATTTGACCTCTCCCACCTGCCCCTTCACCGCTGATCATTACCTGTGGCGAGTAGTTCAGAAGCCTCGGATCTGTGGGACGCGCGCGCAGAATATGATGTCTAGATAGGTCGGCGTGCGAGTGTGTGTGTGTATATATACACCTGGCCAGGGTGTGAGAGTATGCTGGTGGTGGTGGTGGGGGTGGTATGTGTGGGTAGGGTACAAGAGGTACCCGCACCTCAGGAAGGGTGACTGACCTCTTACGCTGACTACCCCGATCTAGCTAGAACTGGAATGGGTGGCAACAATGGGGACAAAATGGAAATTGAGACTCGAGGCGATGTTAATACCAGCGCGGGGTGTCGGTGTGTGTGTGTGTGTGTCGGTGTGTGCGTGCCGGTGTGTGTGTCGGTGTGTGTGTGTCTGTGTGTATATATGTCGGTGTATGGGGAGCGGTAGTGTAGCGGTTAGCGCGCTGCGCTATGAACCTAGCGACCCGGGTTTCGATTCCCGCTCACGGCCAATACCAGTGACGATTATCTGAACCGGTCCCGGGCCTCCCATAGGTCGACTCAGCCTCAAATGAGTACCTGGTGCGGTGTGTAAACATTGCCACTAGGGAGACAAAGGCGGTCGGGCGTGGTGCTGGCCACCCACCCCCTTGTGTACCGTTCCGGCCTTCATAGGTGCTCGCTAACAGCACTTGCCCCTACAGTCTGTTAAGGCTATATGGGGGATCTTTGTTTTTTCTTTGTTATATGTCGGTGTGTGTGTGTCGGTGTGTGTGTCGGTGTGTGTGTGTCTATGTGTCCGTGTGTGTGTCGGTGTGTGTCTGTGTGTATATGTGTTGGTGTGTGCGTCTGTGTGTGTCGGTGTGTGTCGGTGTCGGTGTGTGTCTGTGTGTGTATGTGTCTGTGTGTGTGTCGGTGTGTGTGTGTGTCTCTGTGTGTGTCTCTGTGTGTGTGTCTGTGTGTGTGTCTCTGTGTGTCTCTTTGTGTCTATGTGTGTGTGCGTCTGTGTGTGTGTGTCGGTGTGTGTGTGTGTGTCTATGTGTCGGTGTGTGTGTCGGTGTGTGTGTCTGTGTGTATATGTGTTGGTGTGTGCGTCTGTCTGTGTGTGTCGGTGTGTGTCGGTGTCAGTTTGTGTGTGTCGGTGTGTGTGTGTCGGTGTGTGTGTCTGTGTGTGTGTGTCTGTGTGTGTGTGTCGGTGTGTGTGTCTCTGTGTGTCTGTGTGTGTGTCTGTGTCTGTCTCTGTGTGTCTGTGTCTCTTTGTGTCTATGTGTGTGTGTCTGTGTCTCTGTGTATCTGTGTGTGTGTCTGTGTCTCTGTGTTTATGTGTGTCTGTGTGTCGGTGTGTGTGTCTGTGTGTGTGTGTCGGTGTATGTGTCGGTGTGTGTGTGTGTCGGTGTGTGTGTCGGTCTGTGGGGAGCGATAGTGTAGCGGTTAGCGCGCTGCGCTATGAACCTGGCGACCCAGGTTCGTTTCCCGCTCACGGCCAACACCAGTGACGATTATCTGAACCGATCCTGGGCCTCCCCTAGGTCGACTCAGCCTCAAATGAGTACCTGGTGCGGTGTGTAAACATTGCCACTAGGGAGACAAAGGCGGTCGGGCGTGGTGCTGGCCACCCACCCCCTCGTGTACCGTTCCGGCCTTCATAGGTGCTCGCTAACAGCACTTGCCCCTACAGTCTGTTAAGGCTATATGGGGGATCTTTGATCTTTGTGTGTGTCGGTGTGTGTGTGTGTCGGTGTGTGTGTGTGTCGGTGTGTGTGTGTGTCGGTGTGTGTGTGTGTCGGTGTGTGTGTGTGTCGGTGTGTGTGTGTGTCGGTGTGTGTGTGTGTGTCGGTGTGTGTGTGTGTCGGTGTGTCGGTGTGTGTGTGTGTGTGTCGGTGTGTGTGTGTGTGTGTCGGTGTGTGTGTGTGTGTCGGTGTGTGTGTGTGTGTCGGTGTGTGTGTGTGTGTGTGTCTGTGTGTGTGTGTGTCGGTGTGTGTGTGTGTGTGTGTCGGTGTGTGTGTGTGTGTGTGTCGGTGTGTGTGTGTGTGTGTGTCGGTGTGTGTGTGTGTGTGTCGGTGTGTGTGTGTGTGTGTGTCGGTGTGTGTGTGTGTGTGTGTCGGTGTGTGTGTGTGTGTCGGTGTGTGTGTGTGTCGGTGTGTCGGTGTGTGTGTGTGTCGGTGTGTGTGTGTGTCGGTGTGTGTGTGTGTCGGTGTGTGTGTGTGTCGGTGTGTGTGTGTGTGTCGGTGTGTGTGTGTCGGTGTGTGTGTGTGTGTGTGTCGGTGTGTGTGTGTCGGTGTGTGTGTGTGTCGGTGTGTGTGTGTCGGTGTGTGTGTGTCGGTGTGTGTGTGTCGGTGTGTGTGTGTCGGTGTGTGTGTGTGTGTCGGTGTGTGTGTGTGTGTCGGTGTGTGTGTGTGTGTCGGTGTGTGTGTGTGTCGGTGTGTGTGTGTGTGTCGGTGTGTGTGTGTGTGTCGGTGTGTGTGTGTGTGTCGGTGTGTGTGTGTGTGTCGGTGTGTGTGTGTGTGTGTCGGTGTGTGTGTGTGTGTGTCGGTGTGTGTGTGTGTGTCGGTGTGTGTGTGTGTCGGTGTGTGTGTGTGTGTCGGTGTGTGTGTGTGTCGGTGTGTGTGTGTGTGTCGGTGTGTGTGTGTGTGTCGGTGTGTGTGTGTCGGTGTGTGTGTGTCGGTGTGTGTGTGTCGGTGTGTGTGTGTCGGTGTGTGTGTGTCGGTGTGTGTGTGTCGGTGTGTGTGTGTCGGTGTGTGTGTGTCGGTGTGTGTGTGTCGGTGTGTGTGTGTCGGTGTGTGTGTGTGTGTCGGTGTGTGTGTGTCTCGGTGTGTGTGTGTCTCGGTGTGTGTGTGTCTCGGTGTGTGTGTGTGTCGGTGTGTGTGTGTGTCGGTGTGTGTGTGTGTGTCGGTGTGTGTGTGTGTCGGTGTGTGTGTGTGTGTCGGTGTGTGTGTGTGTGTCGGTGTGTGTGTGTGTGTCGGTGTGTCGGTGTGTGTGTGTGTGTGTCGGTGTGTGTGTGTGTGTGTCGGTGTGTGTGTGTGTGTCGGTGTGTGTGTGTCGGTGTGTGTGTGTCGGTGTGTGTGTGTGTCGGTGTGTGTGTGTGTGTCGGTGTGTGTGTGTGTCGGTGTGTGTGTGTGTCGGTGTGTGTGTGTGTCGGTGTGTGTGTGTGTCGGTGTGTGTGTGTGTCGGTGTGTGTGTCGGTGTGTGTGTGTGTCGGTGTGTGTGCCGGTGTCGGTGTGTGTGTCGGTGTGTGTGTCGGTGTGTGTGTGTGTCGGTGTGTGTGTGTGTGTGTCGGTGTGTGTGTGTGTGTCGGTGTGTGTGTGTGTGTGTGTGTGTGTGTGTGTGTGTCGGTGTGTGTGTGTGTCGGTGTGTGTGTGTGTCGGTGTGTGTGTGTGTCGGTGTGTGTGTGTCGGTGTGTGTGTGTGTCGGTGTGTGTGTGTGTCGGTGTGTGTGTGTGTCGGTGTGTGTGTGTCGGTGTGTGTGTGTGTCGGTGTGTGTGTGTCGGTGTGTGTGTGTCGGTGTGTGTGTGTGTCGGTGTGTGTGTGTGTCGGTGTGTGTGTGTGTCGGTGTGTGTGTGTGTCGGTGGTGTGTGTGTGTCGGTGTGTGTGTGTGTCGGTGTGTGTGTGTGTCGGTGTGTGTGTGTGTCGGTGTGTGTGTGTGTCGGTGTGTGTGTGTGTCGGTGTGTGTGTGTGTCGGTGTGTGTGTGTGTCTGTGTGTGTGTGTGTCGGTGTGTGTGTGTGTCGGTGTGTGTGTGTGTCGGTGTGTGTGTGTGTCGGTGTGTGTGTGTGTCGGTGTGTGTGTGTGTCGGTGTGTGTGTGTGTCGGTGTGTGTGTGTGTCGGTGTGTGTGTGTGTCGGTGTGTGTGTGTGTGTCGGTGTGTGTGTGTGTCGGTGTGTGTGTGTGTCGGTGTGTGTGTGTGTGTCGGTGTGTGTGTGTGTCGGTGTGTGTGTGTGTCGGTGTGTGTGTGTGTCGGTGTGTGTGTGTGTCGGTGTGTGTGTGTGTCGGTGTGTGTGTGTGTCGGTGTGTGTGTGTGTCGGTGTGTGTGTGTGTCGGTGTGTGTGTGTGTCGGTGTGTGTGTGTGTCGGTGTGTGTGTGTGTCGGTGTGTGTGTGTGTCGGTGTGTGTGTGTGTCGGGGTGTGTGTGTGTCTGTGTGTGTGTGTGTCGGTGGTGTGTGTCGGTGTGTGTGTGTGTCGGTGTGTGTGTGTGTCGGTGTGTGTGTGTGTCGGTGTGTGTGTGTGTCGGTGTGTGTGTGTGTGTCGGTGTGTGTGTGTGTCGGTGTGTGTGTGTGTCGGTGTGTGTGTGTGTCGGTGTGTGTGTGTGTCGGTGTGTGTGTGTGTCGGTGTGTGTGTGTGTCGGTGTGTGTGTGTCGGTGTGTGTGTGTGTCGGTGTGTGTGTGTGTCGGTGTGTGTGTGTGTCGTTGTGTGTGTGTGTCGGTGTGTGTGTGTGTGTCGGTGTGTGTGTGTGTCGGTGTGTGTGTGTGTCGGTGTGTGTGTGTGTCGGTGTGTGTGTGTGTCGGTGTGTGTGTGTGTCGGTGTGTGTGTGTGTGTCGGTGTGTGTGTGTGTGTCGGTGTGTGTGTGTGTCGGTGTGTGTGTGTCGGTGTGTGTGTGTCGGTGTGTGTGTGTGTCGGTGTGTGTGTGTGTCGGTGTGTGTGTGTGTCGGTGTGTGTGTGTGTCGGTGTGTGTGTGTGTCGGTGTGTGTGTGTGTCGGTGTGTGTGTGTGTCGGTGTGTGTGTGTGTGTCGTGTGTGTGTGTGTCGGTGTGTGTGTGTGTCGGTGTGTGTGTGTGTCGGTGTGTGTGTGTGTCGGTGTGTGTGTGTGTCGGTGTGTGTGTGTGTCGGTGTGTGTGTGTGTCGGTGTGTGTGTGTGTCGGTGTGTGTGTGTGTCGGTGTGTGTGTGTGTCGGTGTGTGTGTGTGTGTCGGTGTGTGTGTGTGTCGGTGTGTGTGTGTGTCGGTGTGTGTGTGTGTGTCGGTGTGTGTGTGTGTCGGTGTGTGTGTGTGTGTCGGTGTGTGTGTGTGTGTCGGTGTGTGTGTGTGTCGGTGTGTGTGTGTGTCGGTGTGTGTGTGTGTCGGTGTGTGTGTGTGTCGGTGTGTGTGTGTGTCGGTGTGTGTGTGTGTCGGT